CGCGCTCGCGCCTCGTGCATGCATGCGCGGTGCTCATTAAGCCGCCCATTCCTTCACAGTGCACTGCACGTTTATGCGCACGCAAGAGTCAATACGAAACCTCGAAGGGCGTTGCAAGGCGTTTACCAGCAAGGGCGCCGCATGGTCCGGTCGCGCGCAACAGGGTTCGCGTTGCGCGCTGCTTTGGGTGTCTCCCATTTCGTGAGGCTGCCAGCGAACGGTGTGACGGCGAACCTGCGAGGACGGCGACAACGGCGCGCCCGAAAACAATGGGGAGAGCCCCCGGCCGGCTGGACGAACACTACATTTTTCTTATTTTCTTTGTTTTTTTTCTCCTTTCATTCTTGGATGGTCGGGCACTGCGTTTGCGAGTGACGTGTCGGCACGCACCAGGCCGGGCGTTTTCGCGGAACAGAAATCGTTATGCAGTAAAGTGAGTCGCTGTGACGAAAAATCTGCGGCGAAGGAATAGAGGACGCGGCGAGAGAGAGAGAGAGAAAGTTGGTTCGTTGGAATCTTGGCTGTTGTGCGTCTGGACCGGGCCAGCGGCAACCCGTCCCATCCTGCGCATATAATATAGACGGAATAGTGGAGCATGAACCTGCCACTGTTTTGCTCGCTACTAGGCGTTGCTTGACTATATGCATTCACGTGATTGTGGTTAGATTGATTGATTTATATGTGGGGTTTAACGTCCCAAAACCACCATATGATTGATTATGAGAGACGCCGTAGTGGAGGGCTCCGGAAATTTTGACCACCTGGGGTTCTTTAAACGTGCGCCCAAATCTGAGCACACGGGCCTACAACATTTCCGCCTCCATCGGAAAGTGCAGCAGCCGCAGCCGGGATTCGATCCCGCGACCTGCGGGTCAGCAGCCGAGTACCTTAGCCAGACCACCGCAGGCGGGGCTGATTGTGGTTAGAGACAGTGACATTCGCGTGATTGGAAATGTGGTTGCTGCGTGCAAGTGTTCCTCGCAAGAGCATTGCGCAGGCTCGATACGTGAAGCAAGCCAAACTGGCTTGTTGCTGTTTTACTTTCGTGAGCCTATAGATAAATCTCGCGTGGATTCAGCTTGGAAGTCAGAAATACTGCTGCTGCTGCTTTCCCATGTGACCTATACGTTCACTCAAAGTGCATGCATTACATCTGCGTTGCATTTCCATATCGAAGGAGCTGCGAGTTTGACACTGTTATAGTATACTGACGAGTCGTGCAATGCATGTTCCGATTGTCCTTATAGACGGTCTGTTCGCACTTTGAGTGACTGACACCATTAATTCGTATCGAATCAGACAGAGACCACTAAGGGTTCTTAGTATTCTCTGAATTAGCGATACATAAAGAATACAGGCGGGACCAAAAGTTTTTGCGTTCCACAGAAGAGTCGAATATCGACCCACAGTTTCATGGCGGCAATAATATTGCCACAAGGCAGTAGTAGGATTGGGGCATAAAGTGGTAGAGGTTTCCTGCCTGAAAGAAAAGACTACGAAGTGGATAGAGACTGGTCCCAGCCCGCCAGTGTGCCAGGCATTGTCGTCGCGTGTAATCGTCGTAAATATCTGCAAATATACGTTTCCTTGTAAGGTTATCATTGCACTGCATTACATATATAGGTCCGTTATGCTTTAGTGCAAACGACACAGTAGAAATGCCGGCTGCATACCGAAACAATTGAGATGGTATCCGAGACTCATGCTGCATGGCATCCGTAAGCCACTGAACCTACCTACGTATGCATACGATGCACGTTTCCGACAAATTGCACAGCACACTATCACGAATGAGAACTTGGCAAGTTCCTCCAGAGACAACAGAGGACAAGGTGAAATTCGAGAGATCGTATATACACGGCCATACACGTGAACCCGGATCGCGCGCGCTTCAGCAGTCGAGAAGCAGCGGAGGAAGAGGAGGAAAAGAGATGCGTCATCCTTAATGCGGCGAGCAGGGAGAACGCGAAAGCAGCCGAATCCGCAGAGAACAAAAGAAAAGAGCGAAACGCTCCTCGTGCTCGTTGGGCAGGGCTCATTCAAGCGCTGAAGCAACACCGCGTGGTGAAGAAGAAGAAAGAGAAGAAGCTAGCGAGGAATCCACTCGCAAAACGCGAGAGACGCCCAGGAGGAGAGACGGGCATCCGGGAGCGCGCACCGCCGGCGAGGTGGTTCGGTAATGTTCAGGTGGCCGGCAGCAGCAGCCGCAGAGCCGGTCCCACTTCCCCCAGCTACTCTATGCTAGGCGAACGCCACCGCACCTCCGTGAGCGAGAGCTGCACGCACAAACAGGCAGGAGCCTCATGTGCATTTGGCGCTGATAAATTCGCCTCTTACCTCCTCCTCCGCTTCCTTTTTCCCTCGATGATACGGACAGCAGGCGTGATCACTGCATACACGCGGCGTACACCGCGTACAAGCCCCAAGTCGCACCCCCTGTGAATACTAGCACCCCTCCTTGCTACCCCCTCCTCCATCCCGCCGCCAATGAACTAAGGAATCTATACACCCTCGCAGTCGTATAGGATTCTCGGCTACATCTCGTCATGGGAGGACGTCGACGTGCTGTTGTTGCTGCTACCACCTCACAGTATTGCACGCGCGCGCACATTATAGCGTGTACGGGGGCGAATGCGCTGCCGACGTGCCAGCTCGGTTGGTTTGGACGCGCTTCGGGGCCTTTTGCTTGCTACGTTCTTCGTTATACCCGCCATGTAGCATTCTAGCCTCTGTCTCGCTTTAATCCCCGACTAACGCGCGCGCGCACGCACGCACGCACGCACGCACGCACACACACACACACACACACACACACACACACACACACACACACACACGCACGCACGCACGCACGCACGCACACACACACACACACACACACACACACACACACACACACACCTCCGCATCCTCACAGTGTGTGGAGCGGAGAATATAACGAGAAAGACTTGATTCCGGTTGGAGCTCCGCAGAAGTATGCTACTTGCTGTTGGGGCTATATAGTGTACATATATGCGTCCCTGTGTGCTTGCTGTCTGCTGTCTGACATTAGCAGTAAGGCCCCTTGATCTTGGGGCTTTCATTAGCAGAGGTAGGAAGATAGCTAAATGTTCGAGTGTTTGGGGATCACTGCGTGCGGTAATTGTATAGAAGCAGTGCACTATTGTAATGCTTCACTCAACTATATCCAGGGCTCACTCCATCACCGTCGCACTCGCTGTGAGGGAGCATTAATTCCCATGGACATCCACACAAACTTTGAATTATAATTGTCGATCAAATTGGCGTGCGCAGAGTGAGGCGCTCGACATAGATGGATCAAATTAGTACTCTTATGTCAAGCTGGAACGTAGACAGAGAAAACAGAGGGAGGGGGGGAAGAGGGGAGGGGTAACCGGCACTGGCGTTATGATGATTCCTTTGTTTAGCTTGTGTATTTGTGATAGAAGCGTCGACTTACCATACTTTGCGATGGGTTCAAAGGCTTAGCTGTCACGTGTTTCAGTCGTGAATTATGGCGAAAACTGCCTATACATGGCATCAGTAAAGGGTTGCTTGTCTAAGATTTTTACACATTGACGCAGCGTGTGTATTTAGCTTTCTCAACACAGCTATTTGAGAGGTGATACTGCCATGAAAGTTACGCGGTAAGAAATTTGCAATATGGTTCCGCTACTTATCGATATATCGGTGTAATCGTGCACTTCATTTCTCAGCTTCGTGAACCCGGTTGTGTGGCGTTTCACTGCGGCTACTTCGGCAAAGAACAGTGTCGGGACCCCGCGCACCTGTGGAGGTTGTTCAGATGCAGTCATACACGAGTGGATTCGTGCACTTACTGCTATTATCATCAACAAACACTCACCTTCGAAATGTTTAAATTCTGTAAAATCGTCTGTGGCAGTGTTTATGTGGACTCGACTGCCTTGTCTGCACCCGAAAAAATTGAATGGGAACTTATATGTCTTTGAGCTCTTTCATCTTTGCGAAACGGGCACAGAATCCTTTGTCGGGTATAGATAAACCTCCCTCTGTATCTTTCTTCGTGTAATTCAAGGAAAATACAAAGCATCCAAATATGAACTGCACCAGAAGACAGCACCAGTCCTTACGCGGGCAGTATATTTGCCAGTCCGTCCAACTTGTTCGCTGCCGATGACGATAGTTATAGCGCGACAGCAAAACGACGAGAAAGAGACAAGGACACGAAGGACACTTGTCTCCTTGTCTGTGTCGTCGTTTTGTTCTCGCCCTATAACTATCGTAATGCCATACCAACTAGCCAAGCTGCCACACTTCTTGTTCGCTTCGTTGCTCCACTCAGTCCTCTCTCTCGGGGCGTCCGCGTTATCGGCTTCGATAGCGCACGCAGCGTTCGCAAATAGGCGAGAGGAAACGCGCGCTCAGGTCGACGGCGGGATCCTCTCTCCCGGCGGCCTCTCCCACTGGTAGGCGTGTTCGGCGCGGACCAGGCCAGCCCACGTAGAGACCCACCCCGTCCGCGATCGCCGTCGCAACAACTCGTGCTGCTGCTGCGCAGTCGGCAACTGCCAAACACCCCCTTCACCCCCCATCCCCTTCAACTGACTCCCCCCCTCGGTCCACCTGCCCGGTATGCATAGTCGTGGCGCGTGCTCTACCAAGGCATCCTCTGCTATGGCGCAGGGGTGACGGCGATGTCGATTATTAAGGAATCCGCATGATCGAACGGCCGCGCCGAATCAGCGTTATTATAAATACCAGAGCGATCGAGCGGCGGACACCTGCCATTATTTGCCATTATTCGGCGCGTACACGCTTTGAAAGGGGATGCAACGAACCGGCCGCTGGGATGGCAGCAAGCAGGAACGTGGCGTGTTCAGTGTGGGCATTCGGTGCCGTGCCGGCCGAATGTTGTCCAATGTGTGCGAAGTGTACATCCTTGTGTCTCGGCCAGTTTCTCGTGACGCGACTAATATTTTTGCTGTATTATTTGCTTCGACTTATTCCTTTTTCTACAGTTTCCTAGCTCGGCGATGTTCATGTTCGTACTTGCGGTAGGCGGTGCGAGGCAGAGCAATTTAACGAACAACAACAACAACATCAACAACGACGACGACGACAACAACAACAACAACAACAACAACAAAACTTCTTTCCCTTAAAACAATAACACAGAATAACACGAACACATGCGCTCGTTGTATGGGGTTCATGTCTAAGTCCAAGTGTCCAGACATAGCTATATATGGCAACTATACAGCATACGTCACGAACACACGCGATGACACACGTGTACGACGAACACGCTTTGTAATAAATTGTTCTGCGCGTCGTTAAAAAAAAAAAACAACTTCCCAGTAGCCCATTCACAAGTCAGTTTTACCCCGACAAAATAAAGGAACGGAAATGAGCAGATAGCTTTGTGGTGTCCTTTTGTTGCCATGGTTCCCTCGAAGCTTTCCATCGCAATGCGCCACTGTCGTTCACAAAAAACACGTTTTCACGGTGACATCAAACGTACGTAACGTCAATTTACCGATGTGTCTGCGTCGTACTTTTATTCATACCGTAAATCGCAGTCTGAGCACACCATATTCACAGTATCATGGTGCGTTGTATTTGCTGTATATGCGTAGTCCATTTTACGCTAGTGTATTAAAACATGCTCAAACTTTAGTTGCTTCAATGCAGCATATCTTGCATGCATATCGGATACTACATGTGAAGCACTCATAACACGTGCAGTAAGTGCGCGAAACGAAGCATATACTTAACGCCTGTTTTTGGCTGGCCTATGCACACTGTAAGAATGGCTCACCGCGTTATTGTTAAGACTCTTAAAATATTCGGAGTACGATGACAAAGTTACTTTTCCACGTGAGATTTTATCTGCAGTTTATAGGTAAGCCTCATTCTAACCATTCCACGTATAGGCACCATCCAATAAATAACATCTCGCATTCTTTAGGGAAAGTAGTAGAAATTCTTAGGACTTATTTTTTTTTGTTAAGCACGATAATAATGATAACTCAATAATACTCTAGCATTATTGTGTTTCAAGTTCTTAAATCTGGTTACAAGGAAAAATTATGTATAGGTTGGGCTGTGAAACGATTTGCTCATATACGATGAAAGGGTATTGGCAAGATCAGAGTGGCACGTATACCTCTATCAATTGAGCATGCGAAACGCATTGCTCTTGCGTCCGCTGTAACCGCATGCTCCATCTATAACCAACAGCACTATAGTCAACACATTTTCAGACCAAGCAGTGGAAGCGGTAATAAATCAACCATAATGGATTGCCGCGTTTCGATATCGAGCTGCTAAGGTAATATAGTCACGACTTGTTAATAATAAATGCTCACCGTGTTTTGTGCGTTTTGTTAACGTGGCTGCTATAGCTTTGAATTCCCGAAGTGAAAGCGGCCCCGACTCGCTGAACGAGTTTCGAACTCCGAATTTCCAGCACGATATTGATCTTGTTGGTTCTCCTCCATTTTGAGCAGGAAAATTAAAACATTTTATAGCAACCGCTTCAAAAAAGCACTACGTACAACGTACTGCACGCGCACCGCGTTAAGGCCGAACTCCTGCCCGCCTGCTACTTTCGCATTCGAATGTCCTCGAGGAAAAGTAACGAGCGGTAAATCACCGTCGGACTTTATTGTATCAATAGACAGTTCGCCCTGTCAGGAACCACGGCGACGCGATCCGTTATGCAGAACGTCAAGGAAGTGGAAAGGGGGGTTCGCGGTGCGTAATACTCGCTCGTATACACCACTATATATACTCCCTCGCCCTCACCTCTCCCTTTCCCACAAGCTCTAAGGGAGCACGCAATCAATCACTCCAATTAGACCAACCGGATCAGAAAAGAAGGGGGGGAGCCCAGTTAGGCGCAGCAAAATGTTTTTTTGCTTCCCTTATGACTTCGTCTATGGCTTCGCCCGGCTCCGCTCAAGAAAGCGGATCCGAAATTTCTTTGGGCGCACACGGCATTCGAGGTGGGTGTGGCCCCCAAGGCTTGAATGAGCAGCACGCATGCGCGCAAGACGTTATATACACAAAAGCGACGTTTATATACGCGCTATATTCGTTCGGAGATATGTGTAGATCGAAAAAGAAGAGGCACAGAAAGAAAAAAGAAACTAACGAAAACGACGAAGAATACAAGAAAGTTGGGAATGATAGCCAACGGCTCATGCGACGGTGGCCGTGAAGTAATCTCGAAGCTTATTCCGTTGCATTTGGCCGCCGGCGTGAGATAATTGCCAGGGCGCTGAGATAGCGGTCTAATAATAATGCGCTCGCGGCGCCAACTCGGTCTCCGCGAGATTGAACCTGTCGGCGATCCGTACGGTGCTGAGCTTTGGCGAGGGTGACGAGTGTATACGCACGCACCTGCAAGGCGTATACACAGTGGGCGAGTGTGATACCCACAGTGTTTAGCCAAACATTTTTTTTTCTATGTGTTGTCCACCGGCGTAATCCGCACACACGCCGTTGTCGATGTGTGTGGCAGGGCGGCTACTTGTATGGGTATATAACTGCGTTCCTTCTCGTCTAAGGTCGTTGGCAGCTGCGTAGCTTATAGCGCATTATGGATCTGACGACGAATTGGCATTCGCTTTAGCCACGATTTGCGAGCACTGCCAACGGTTTTTCGCATTGCAGCCTCATTGAGTCAATGCACAGCCTGTCTATGGACGTGCGTATACTAGACGTTGGTGCCCTGTAACTTCTTCAAGCGAATTTCTATCATGTTGGAAAAGCCAACGTTTTGTGAGTGTTTGGAATATATTTTCCGTAAAAACTAGATCAACATGTTGGCGTTGCGGCTGCAACTGTACAAGCGTAAACGGAAGCGCTTGCTGTACAAAAGATGTGCACTTGTATTGGCGATCTTAATGAAAGAAGCAACAAACTCTGAAAGCATATGACGTGTGTAGCGTGACGTTGACAAATATGAATACAGAGCTAGCAGTGGCACGTCAAACATTCGACTAAGTTTCTCGTCTTCTGCATCTATGTTTTCATTGGTTACTGGGTCACGCGAGTGAACAGAGAGGCTGAATTCACTGTTCTGATGTATAGTTCTTGCTTGAGCGAAAAAGAAGGGTGATACAGTTGCCCACGATGTCGCTGATCATGTCCTCTTGCCTTGTTTTTCGCAGCTCACGACCGTTGCCTACCCACTCCTCCGCTGACCCCCGAATCGCACCTAGGCGGCAGCATCAGCGGCCTCCCAGCCATGCCACCGTGCAGCTCCACCTCACTGTGCCTGAGCCCCGGCTCGGCCCCGAAGGCATACTACGTCGGCCCTCCGTCGCCCCCGCACGGAGGAGGCGGCAGTCAGCCTGGTTCGCCATCTGTCGTGGTGCCCGTCCCGCTACTACCCGCACAGAACCCCGCAGCCTTTTCGGCGTTCGTGCACCCCCATCAGCAGCATCCTCTGATGACGTTAGCGACGCCCTCGGTGTTCCCACCTCCAGCCCACATGTCCGCCGCCGCCGTTACGTCTCCGGCAGCCGGTCTGAACCATCATGCCAGGGCGCCGGACCACGTCTCCCCCGCGGTTGCGGCCCCCGCCCAGAGACCGCGAAAGAAGTTCGACTTCAGCAGACTCGCAGAGTCCGCGACGGCGCCCGACGAAGAGTCGGCCACCGAAGATGAACAACTGCCCGCAGTACCTTCGGCTAGCTCCCTGCCCACACCGTACAGATCTTTTGTGCTTGAACAGATGTACCATCACCACCAACAGCGACAAATGGGAGCCGCTGCCATGGCGAGTCGAAGTGGTAGCCTGCACAGGCTAGAGAAGAGGTTCGCCTCGTCCCAGCCTGGTTCCGCGACGGTACCTCCGACGTCCTCTTCAGCCACCCTCATGGCCAGCGCTGCTGCTGGACTGAGGCCCGTCCGGTACCGGGCGCCGTCGCGGCCCAAGAAGGAGTTCATCTGCAAGTTCTGCCAGCGCCGGTTCACGAAGTCCTACAACCTGCTCATCCACGAGCGGACGCACACGGACGAGAGGCCGTACACGTGCGACATCTGCCACAAGGCGTTCCGCCGACAGGACCACCTCAGGGACCACAGGTGCGTTTGACATGTTCCTTTATATGCTATGAACGTTCTGCCACTTTTATACGGGCCTGTACTCAAATAGCATGTTCGTGCGCAATAGAGAATCTCAATAGTACTTCCCAATAGGGACTATCAATAGATTATGAAATTTAAATAGGTTGGAAATGACTAATTGAGGCATATTGAACGAAGTTTTTTGTAATATCTACTATCACATAAAGGCAGCATGATTTCTGCGGCCACTTAATTAACATCGTTCAGAGATTTTCAGTTCCATAAAATTTATTCGTCATTTGTCTGCAGTGATGACTGCCATCATGTTCTCTGAATGGCTGACACACGATTTTTCGAACTAAAGCCTTAGGAACTGCTATCTGAATACGCATCCCGATCTGTGTGTTCATTTACTGCTTGATTCTATTTCTTTATTTTGTTGTTCTGAATCATTGCTTGTTAGTCTTAAAATAAGGAAAACACAAAATTGATAAGACCACGTTAGCTACTCCGTAGATTACTGCACAAGCCATCGAACAAGGCGTTTTCTCTCTGGACTTGCACAAAGCGCCGTATATTCATGTCGTAATGACTTCCTTCACGTCCGTAGTGTTCTCGGTCGTTTGTTCTGACGCTTTTAGCGGCTTTTTTTCACACGTTCACTCCCAAATATCGAAAACACGTGTGCGATACAAGCCAGGAAAGCTACAATGAGAAATAGTAGAAAAAAACGAAGTTGTTGACGACAGCCTTGACATGGCGCCTAACGTTTGCCGCCTTTCTGACAGATAAAGGGAGCTCAAAAGGGTTTCAAGAGCTTTCCCAACCGGACAAAAAAAAAAAAAAATAGTTGGGTAAGGACGCGGCGCAGACCACGACACCCACCACTTCAAACAAACGTGCCGACGACGCACGGCCACCCCGTTCCGTCTCCGACCACCCACTTTTTTTTTCTTGCATGAGGAAGGAACCCTTTTTATCCCAATTTGGGACCCCTTTCGCGTTGATTTCACAGAAGAGGCGCCGCCGCTTTGACGAAAGGGTTCGAGGGGCGGCGCCGTCAGCAAAGACCTCCTTTTTTTTTTCCCCTCTGGTTTTTCTCATGAGTGGGCTTCTAAAGATACCGACCTGTAACAGAGAAGGCGAAAAAAGAAGTAAACCTGAACTTCAAGAATAACGCTCTTGAAAGAGAAGTCGCGGAAAACTATCGTGACAAAAAAAAAGTGGAAGAACAACACTTTCACTTTCTTTCTTGTTCAGATACCGAAAAGGAAAAAAAAGAGTTTGGGTACACGGCTTCGACGCCTTTTCTATAATTGTTAAAAAAGTGCCTAAACTGGCCGCTCGAAGGAATGTTAAAAAACACACAAATTGTTGTCACCGACTGCTTTCTCTGTTCTATCCACACATTCATTTGTCAGCTCTATCTTTTCTGTTCTCACTCTCTTTCTCTCTCTCTCACACACAAGCAACAGCACAGCAGGCTTCCTTAAACTGTCTCAAACAGCCCTCAGGCAACTTCTTCGCGACATCGGGAAGCAAAGGCCGCTGTTTCTGGCTTCTATAATTGCTTAAAAAAACTCGCGAGACGGGATAGAAAAAAACATCCGCGCCTGTCTGTTTTTTTTTCTTTGTAATCTATCGAAGTGCACTGCATGGGTGCACGCGGCAGAGAAGAGTTGAAGGACAACCCGTTGTTCTCGAGCGCGACACTCTGAGAAACTAGAGGCGTCCCGATATCCCACAAAGTGTGGCCGTAGGGCAGCCAGCAATAAAAGCATGGTTTTGGGCATTGTTTGGATAAAAGTAGAAGTGTGCCTTCCAGCCTTCTTTGTTTAGTTGTTTAAGTCCCAACGTATGAAAAAAAAAATTCAAACCCCATTCATTTTCGGCAATGTCGTCCTTAGCCCATTCCCACGTGCAACTCTTTTTTGTGCGTGTGGGCGTGTGTGGACCTGCAAGTTGTGTCGATACTTATTTGCTAACGGCGGAAGGATTCTTGTGTATTCTCCTACGACGTTCTTGTGCGCGGATCTATAAGCAGCCTTCCAAGCTAGGCATTTTTGCGTTATTTGAGAATTTCCGACAAGATTGGTCGGTGGAATTGTTTATAATGTGTGCTTCCGTGTATTTTACACTGCACTGATTATGCGAGTAGATAGAAAAGACCTAACAAATGTTGCAGTATCGTTTATCTGTCCTTCGATTCTTACACATTACTATGTCCAGCCCCCTCGTAATTAAATCACTTGTACAAGCTATGCAGGCATTGTCTCCGCTGCGTTCCCTCAATTCTTGTCAGTTAATATTGATGCTTCGCAATTATCGATCTCGATCACATGCGCGTGCACACACACACACACAAAAAAAAGAAACGGGGCGAAGGATGGAAAGAACAACAGTCCAAACTAATAAACAAAGAACGTAAAGTATTGTTGCTTAAGTTGCTCCTGTTTCAAATAGCTTTTTTGTTTCCCTTCTCAGAAGAGCGAACCTTCTCGCATAGGATTTGTGATCGACCTCAGAGAGCCTGCATTCTCACTTGAAATGCAACAGGTGCAACTTGCCAGCTGAACTGAGCAACTGTTAGACCACCGTGCAGCTAATACATCACGCGTAAAGTTATCAAAACTGACCAACCAAATTAATACGAATAGCAGGCTTAAAAACATTGATGTTGATTGATATGTAGCGTTTAACGGCCCAAAACCACCATATGATTGAGAGACGCCGCAGTGGAGGGCTCCGGAAATTTCGACTACCCGGGGTTCTTTAACGTGCATCAAAATCTGAGCACACGGGCCTACAACATTTCCACCTCCATCGGAAATGCAGCCGCCGCAGTCGGGAATCGATCCCGCAACCTGCGGGTCAGCAGACGACTACCTTAGCCACTAAACCACCACGGCGGGGTGGCTTGAAAACATTGAAGCAGTTCTTATTTGTACAGCACGTTCGATTGATAACGTGGACAGGCAGTACACCATTTCTTTTTTGTTGTACTCTAGGTTTCTCAGATATGAACAAACATTCTTTGTGTATCCCGCGCTCTTGTATGGAGCGTGCTGTCCGTGTTCCATCTGTGCAGTGGGAGCGTATCTTACTCCTGCTGCGGAAAACGGCCGATACCGACACATGCGCGTATACGACACCAGGCAGTAACTTACGTTCGCTGTCAAAGCTGCCCAACGGCACAGCGGGGATATCTTCTCGCGGGCAGGTTCCATCTTCTCTGCGAAAGCCGATGCCCATGTGGTGCTTTTCTATCCGCGAATCTTTACGACAGGCCATTAGCGTCGTCGTGACCACAGTAGTACGCATAGCGAAATGTCGTGGTAGTTAGAGGGCACCGTATACCACAGCTGGCTCGGCTTTCCCTTTCAAGCGAAGAAGGACGGTAGTGATTAGGCTAACTGCCAATTTCCGCGTCGCCCTTGGCTGTAAGCGTCGGGACCCGATGCGCTGTAGCGTTTGGTGCTCGCCGCATCGAGATAGCGGAGTCGACGCCGCGAGCGATAGCCAAGATCGCGGGACCCGGCAACACGAAGAAAAGGAGCCGTTTCCGGAGCACGAGTTGGGTTGACATGGGTATTCGACGATACAGCTGCGATGCAAGGATGCCCTCTTCGCCTTTGTAGTTTGCGCCGGCATGATTTGTTTTATCAGAAAAACATTTTGTTGCCACTTCGGGGAGCGTTGCGAAAATCTTGACCTTGGAGCTCCAGTTACCCTTACGGCTTTTGCGAGATAAACTCAGGTGGTTACGCACGCCCGCTTGGCTAACCTGCCTTTGCAATACTGTTGTAAATCTTTCGAAGTGGTGTGTGCACTGCGCAGACTATATAGTTGTCGCAAACGTTTTCAATCATTCTTCCCTCTTCTTTCCTTGCATTTCGTTATCTTCTGTCACTGCATCCCTTATCATGTCACTGCATCCCTTATCATGTCACTGCATCCCTTATCAGGAGCGTAAGGCAGCCGCCACGAGTGTGATCCGAGCCTGTGCACATGCGTGCATTGAAAGGCCGCGTCGTTGCCCATCCATGCTCAATTCTATATTTACCGATGTAGTAATATGCTGTTGAAATCCAACTAGAACCCTCATCTTTATGTTCTGTTCTTTTCGGAAATGCTTTACCAGTCAACATTCACAACGTCGGAGCGTCGGGAGCCCCCAGGTATACCCTCTAGCGAATTCTCATCGATACCTGAAAAATCAATAGGCCCTCTAACTACTGAAAAATCAAGGGGCCCTCTAACTACCACGAATGTCAGCGCCGAAACCACGCTGACATTCTGATGCACGCTATAGATTCCAAAATACATACGGACGCCAGCGGTTATGTACACAATGAACAAATTTGTAAAACTAGAACAAACATGTTTGCGCATTCCGTTCCGCCTGACCCGGAATCAAACCTGGGTACCTGGGTCGTCCAGGTCAGCAGAGTGACACCGTATAGCCGCCAAGTTTTCGACGGACGCCATTGCCACCCACACACTTTTCTTGACAAAGAGTTGTATGCAGTGGTGCTCTATTGCTACACATTGTTTGCACGGGGTGCCTATACACACCAACAAGCATACACAGCTGCGTGTAATCGCTTTATTGTTGGTTGCTGTTGTTGACTGTGGCGCTGACCTATATACCCCTTGCTCCTCCTTGTACAGGTACATCCACTCGAAGGAGAAGCCGTTCAAGTGCAGCGAGTGCGGAAAGGGCTTCTGCCAGTCGCGCACCCTGGCCGTGCACCGGATCCTGCACCTGGACGACTCGCCGCACAAGTGCCCCACGTGCGGCCGCAGCTTCAACCAGCGGTCCAACCTGAAGACGCACCTGCTGACGCACACCGACATCAAGCCGTACCACTGCCCGGCGTGCGGCAAGGTGTTCCGCCGGAACTGCGACCTGCGGAGGCACGCGCTCACGCACGGCATTCGGACGCCCTGATACGGACTCCGAAGACGGCGGTGACTCGCAGTGAAGCCCACCCACCGTGTCTTCGGCTGTGACGACGCCTATACTCTACTCGTGTAATGTAAAGATGAAGCCGGTCGGAACCAGGCTGCTGTTGTAGAGTCTAGCATAGTCAATGTTGTACAGACCCACTTTAGCGTAGCCTGTTGTGCGGAACACGCGTTCACGACGCTTGGTGTACCGCTGCACGCAACTGTCCAGTGCATGTTCCTTGTGGCCAGTCGCAGACGACTCGAAGAATACTGTCGTCACTGATGTCTGCGCCTGACTGAGTGGTTCAGCCAGCCAAAGACTTCTCACCGAACCACTCCGGTTCACGTTCCTGGCCCGCAGAGCATGTGCGTCAAGGGTGGCAATGTTAATTCATGCCCCGACATCAATCAGCTGCTACCTCGAACGCTTGCGAAACTTTGTGTGCGAGATCTGAAGCCACTGAACAACAAACTGTTTCTTATCAGTAAGAAGGCCCCACCACATTCGCTACAAGCAAATACGTGCATTTGCTTTACCTCTGTGGTTGCGGAAGCACTGTGTCAACTGGAAAAGCAGAGAGTACCTGCATCAACTGAGCGTGGTTACATCTTGGCCACAAGTGACTAATTTCTGACTAAAGGTTCTTTAGTCGCTGTGAATGAACAGTGTGACGCTGAGTGACATAGTTTCCCATAAATGTGGCCGTGAATTGTGTTTTTTACTGGCTCGTTACACTTACTACTGCTCATCGCCGCTCAGTGCCTCGTCACGCAGCTGATCACCAAAGACAAGTTTACGAGGACTATTCTATAACGCTCGTTTCCCGTTCGCTAGCACGCGTATAGTTTCCAATCAAACTGCTCAGTCGCTGAAATTACGTTGTTGCTGTAAATATGTTCTAGAAGGTGGTGTGCCACCAATGATCTCTGTGTAAAAAAATAATGTGTGAGCGAATTGTTTGTACTCTTGTTTTTTTTCTTTTTGTCGCCAGTGGCGAAACATGAATCTGTCTACGTGTATTAAAAGCGAGAGTTTGTTCGTTCACTTTGCGTGTTGTGTTTTATTATTGCTCTGTATCTATGCATCAGATGGTAAAAAAAGAAAAAAGCAGCCAGAGAGAGTAACAGAGAAAACTGAATGAGGCTACTTACAGATCACTCGTATGGGAAAATCAAACAACTATACTCGGTTGTTCCCAGGAGCACTGGCTGCGAGAAAAAGAAAAGACGCAGTTCTTGTATCTGTCCATGTACGGCAACAACGGGCCAATCACTGTATATCGTCACCAATCCCGTTTTTCTGGTGCAGTTCTCGATCATCACCTCTTTTGCAAACGTACATTTAAAAACGTACAGCCATAAGCAACATTTTATGAGGTCTATTTTTCTTTTTGGTTAATTTTAGAGTATACACGCAGCTGGTCACTGCAGAGTACATTTAATGTCTGCATGCTCCTTGAGGTTTTCTATCCAATAAACTCCACGTTTTGGAAAATATCTTTCAGGAGAAGAAATATAGGTACACATATGCCGATCAGAGACTAGCCGACTGACAACTTCACACCTTGCAGCAATGACTAAGCTTGCTAAAAGTTATCAACGTTGCGGATGGCGTCAATGACACAGGGAGGCGTACGGACCCAGTACAGGCGAACTTCATAGGATGTATTGTGCACTGCACGCGACAATCTAAATATAAATACGCTGGAAAGAGAAGCAGAAATCAGTAGTGTTAACAACCGCTCTTAAAGGCTTGGCCCATAGGAATACTGAACTCTGACTTATTACCAGAGTTTTTAAAAAATAAGGAAAAAAAACACAAAAAAGACAGCCTAGCTTACAGTTCTTGCTGTTCTTTTCTCCTCCTGCGTCTTTTTTTTTTTTGTTCCCGTTTCTCTTAAATGGACACCAAAGAGGAACAATGACTTTGTTCGTATTTACAAACTGCACTCTAATAAGTCTAATCGTATGTTTCACTATCATAAGTTCATTATTAGAGGTGAACACTGAGATTGGGAAGTTTCTGCCAAATAAAGTTTCAAAATTTATTTTCGGTATTTTCGTGGCACTGGCTCAATGAAATTTTCCGAAACTTCCCATGCTAAGTTAGTTCATGGCACCCACAGGCTACAATTTAGTTCATTTTTTATCGATTGGAAGCTACGTATGATCCAGTAGATGCCTTCGAAATTTCTTACGTCACGGCGTTTGGTGCGGGAATCCCAAAATGGCGTCGTCACCCACATTTTTTTTCGCGCATTTTCTCAGCGTCATGTCGCAGTAAACGAGTTGTTTTCGGGATTGTGAAATTGTACTTTATTAATACGCAAAAATTGTTTTGCTCTTTAGTGTCCCCTTAAGGGCTGAAAATGCACCAAAGTTATTTAATAAGTGGTGTAGCCAAAAAATCTTTTCAGGAGGTTTCGTTCACCCTGTACGTACGTTCATGCGTGTTTGCATGTGTGCGTGTACATACACGCACGCGAAGTTGAAAATTTTCGGGGGAGGGTTTGAAGCGCGCCCTCTTCATCTACTATGCTAGGGAAGTTATTCTACCGCGTCTCCGCGGTAGAATAACGCAAGATTGCTTTAAAGCGAGCAACATTTGGTGACTACCGCAAAACAGCCTGAAGCCGACGTTTCAACGAGAGGATTCCAGAACAGCTAATGTGCTTCCTTTGGCACACATGAACAAATGCTCTCTCCACAATCAGAACGTCAAATGCAAGCTTACACGCATTTGTTCATTCAGCTCCTTTGTCTCGCGTGAACTCATTGTCTCTCTCCTCTAGCATAAACAGAAAAAGGCTTGCTGTATTAAAAATAAAATAAAGCAAAAATGCTATTGCTTGCTGCTGAAATGAATAAATGCAAAATTTAGGTGAGTTAATATATATGGGTGTCTGAGTTAATGAATACAGTGCAGCGAGCGAGGAAGGAGAAAGAACACATGGCTCTTCAACTCGATCTATTCTATATTTAGCTTCAACTACGTCATGTATTGAAATGAAGGTTTTGCGGGCACTAAGAATAGAGACGCTAATTCGTTGGTGCAGGCCTTCGCCCTGTACAGTGGTCATTAATTACCATGTATAATAATACATATAGAGTTTTGCGCGCTAAACCACAAAATAAATGAAATGAAACGAACGCAGCACCGCGAAGGACCCCGGAAATTTCAATCATAATGTGTTCTTTCTTTAAAGTGCACTAGAACAGCACGGTACATGGACATCTTAACGTATCGCTTCTAGAAATTTTACCTTAGGGTCAGAAGCCGAGCGTCGTAACCACGATTATTACGACGATGACGCTTCGCTTCATGAACATTCGAGCTTGCTGCTACTTGCCTGAGGTGAGCCTTAGAGGTACTAAAGAAACGTAGACAGGGGGGGGCGGGGGGTTGTATAGCCTAAATCACCATGGAGCTGGGACATTACAGATAGCAGAAATGCGTAAACCTACCAGACACAGCGAGGTCGGTGATAAAAAAATTCGGCGTAAGAGACGTTCCTATTTATCGCTGTGGAAGGCGATAAGAGATGGAAGGTGCCGTGAGGCTTCGTCATGTACGGTGGCTATATACTTCTCGATAAACTTAAGCGAGACTTGCGTGAGGTCTGGGTATATGCGGTCAAGAATCACGCATATAAGAGCCATCCAGGACTGAATAATGCTCTCTTATACGTGCATAAAAGCTTCGCGACGGTGCCCATAAGGTAGGAAAACACACGTCTTTATCCATACATTTTTTTTACAATCCTATAAGTATGGCTTTTCAACTTAAGACCCACACTAAAACCTTATTTTCATCGTTATTACAAAACCAGCTGAATGACTAAAGTTTGGGAATTAATAAACGTTGCACTATACGTCGCACGAGAACTCAAAGGAAATGTTTTCTAGGGTTGAATATTGTCACACCTCGGCTAGCTGCCGAGGTGTAACAATGACATGTGCTTTTTGAGCTTGAGCTTCACTTTTAGGAAATGTTAACTACCCCGAGCGTTGCTGATTTTGTTAGGGTGTCCGTAAGACGTAAATGCGATGATAAACGTCTCATCTTGGTGGTGCAGTCAATTGTGTATAATGTTTACAATTGTCCCACTGAGATTTACGTGTTAACAGTAGAGCTACTTAACAAATATTGCTACTCACACGTATTGTACACTTCCTAACTGCTGCGTGCCATGAACTGCATCTTTCTAGTTTTTTGGTAACGATGTATGATGTCAATTTATACTTACTTATTTCTTGTTTATTTGTTACTCATGTCTCGAGCTTACGTTTTGGCACCTTTCGCCCTTTTACTTGTTGTACATGTCTTTGTTAGCCCCCCTTACTAAATGCCCTAACCAACGGCCTGTAAGGCACCTGTAAATAAAAAAATAAATAAATAAAATCATTCCTTGTGTGATTATGCTAAACGGGTATGTGCCACGAAAATTGGGTGAATTCTACTCGTTTGTTCAAATGAAGAAAACAACATTTAGCCCAACGAATGGTGACGATGCCATTGAGCCCAACGTTACTAGATACTTTTTTCAGTTTGCAAACTGCGGCGCCGCGAGTGTCACCCTTCCCTGTACCGGTCAAAAAGCCGCAAGCGCGCCCCCTCTCGGCGGTGCCCGGACCCACGCCGGCGGAGTTACTGCAGTTGTGTTCGTATGCCGGGTGCTGCTTTGTTGCTTTCAAGTGTGCTTCGTAGTCATCGCTGTCACTGAGTCCCAGCAAGATTTATTTCGACGTAACTCGCGTAGTGTGTGCTCTGGCTGCAACTTACTACGGTAGTGATCAACGTGGTGCCCGGCGTGGCACCGACGCTGTCAGCGTTGGCGTGATCTGCATGGTGCCGGGTGTTTTTTAATGTCTTCAACTCAGTCATCGCTTTCCCTGTGAGCTACACAGCTCACATGTGTCATGTGACGGTTCTTGAATGTGAGAAAACATGCCTCGCTGCTTTGTGACTGGTTGCCGAAGTGGGTACGATTCGACGAAATCCGCGGCCGAAAAGAGACATTTTTTCAAGCCTCCCGCTGATGAGGTGCGCCTTCAACTGTGGCGACGGGCTATACCGAGATCGGATACATTTAGACTTAATGCTGTGGCCCACTGTCAATGGTTTTTTTTTTTTTACATAGGCAATCGAATTTTAAAGAACGGGAACGCAAAAGAGCTGTATGAACAGAAGTCCCGCAAGATTCGGGCATCGCGCTCACGTCTCTGCCGTGTGGCATCGCCTTAGCGGCTCAACTGGTGATTTACTTGCACACTCGTAATAACCTTCGCTCACCCTCTCGGGAAATAACTCCCATTACACAAAATTAACCGCGTAAATTCCGTTTAACATTGCGCGAAGGCTCCGTTACGATGCGGCGACCGGTCAAATGGCGTCGGAAGCGCCACCTAGAGAGCGGGAAACGAAGGGGGCCGCGTTTCGCCGCCGCATCCCGGCGGAGTTTGCAAACTGAGGTAATCTAGTAACGTTGATTGATCCGTCGTCGGGGCATCGCTGTCCTTGTCAAAGACGAGTACCGTGGTTAGAGAACCAAGGACGATAAGGCAAAGATGGAAGCCAAACTCGTTACAACCTCGCTACAGCCAAGTTGAACCCCGCTACAGCCTTGCTATGCATGCAGCCAAGTTCTGCCTATAGATACAGCAATGAGTAAGCACGAAACTGATCACCTTCGATGTGTACTGACCTTTGCGCGGCGTATAGTGTAAGCTTTGGGCGCCATTTCTTTTCTATACAAGATGTCTCGATGTATCGCGTTCTGCAGCGAAAGCTACATTGGCCGTAATATTGCTGTTTCGCTGTGGCCGGGGGCCGCACCACGAGCTGAGCAGTCACCTAGCAACCGCTGCAACTTTCAGGGCGGATTTAGTCAGTGTAAGTCAGTGACGCTCATCGTGTCATCTGGCTTGACGTCAGAAGAGGATCCGGTGTTTCATCGAATAGAGGGGGTGGTTCGGTGAGATTCATCAGCGGAAATAAAAAGTGAGTCGGGTAGACTGAAAGAAGCCAGGCTTCGTCTCCGGAAC